TGGCTCTCTTTGGCTTTCTCACCGATGTTTATCCTGCCTCCGTTGAGGCCCTGCATGGCGATGTTGAATCCCTGCCCTTCAGCTCCCAGCCGGTTGCCCACAGGAACAACGCAGTCCTCAAAGATCACAGCCCGAGTTGGCTGGGAATTCCAGCCTACCTGGGAAAAAACAGAGCTCCTTCCAGACTGCCTGAGGAGCAGCACAGCTCCAACACAGAACCACCAGCCTGCTCCCAACCCTCGGTCTCACTGCCAAGCTGTCACAAAGCACCCGTGGTCTGCATGGTTTGGCCTCAGTGTGGAAATTGGAATGGGTGTTTTTGAGAAGAGGCACAAATCCAGTGATCTTGATGTTCCTGAGACTAAAATCCTTCACTTATCAAAGGGATGGGTATTGGGCCAACCTTACCACTTGGTAAAATCATGCCAGGCTGGGACTCCAATCCTATCCATGAAGAGATCCCTAATGCTTTGCACAGACAAGCTCATTGGGACCACAGGACACAGCCTCAAGCTGTGCAGGGGAGGCTCAGATTGGACATCAGGAAGAATTTCTCCAGGGAAAAGACTGTCAGGCATTGGAATGGGGTCTCCAAGGAGGTATTTGAGTCACCACCCCTGCAGGTGTTTAAGGAATGCCTGGATGTGGCACTCAAGTGAGCATCAGTCACAGGTTGGACTCAATGGTCTTGGAGGTCTTTCTAATCCTGATGATTCTGTGGTTCTGTGATCTCTGTCCTGCACTCCCCTCAAGCACACAGGAAGCAGAACCCAAGCCTCTTACCTTCTTCTCCTTCTTGCCAAAGCTGAGCCCTGGCATTCCCTTCTCCAGCACGAGGCAGGAGATGCCCTTGGGGCCTGGGCCCCCTGTGCGACACATGACGACGTACACGTCGGTGTCACCTCCCCCGCTGATGAAGGCCTGCAGGAGGGCACAACGAGAAAAGTGAGGCTTTGAGGGGGTTTGCAAACTATCCCTGAGCCCACAGCAGCAGCTGGCAGGGTACAGAAATGGAGAGGCAGAGACTCCACAGCCAGAGGCATTTAGGGACACAGCTGGTGAAAGCTCTGCAGAGCACGTCTTGCCTTGGGAGAATGCACAGAGGTGAGGAGACAGCAGGAATGGGAAGGACAGTGAGACCCAGGCAGCTTTAGCAGGAGCAAAGAGGTACCTTGGAGCCATTCAGGACGTAGGAGTCCCCTTTCCTCTGAGCTGAGGTCAGCAGGGAAGCTGCATCACTGCCACTCCCTGTTTGAGAAGCAAGGAAGCAGCCAGTGAAGCAGAAGGTCCCGAGCCTACAAACTCTCCCTGGGACCATACCCTGACACCTGAGTTTGTACCACGAGCATCTCAGCAATCATCATCTGCCTCTCCTCAACTTCACAAATGAATATGGAAAGAAACATTTCACCTCCAGCCCTTTGCAAGGTTCGTGTGCAGTTAAAGAGAGAGGAGATGTTCTGGTTGAGGATGCTCACCTGGCTCAGTCAGGCAGTAAGAGGCAAACTTTTCCATGCTACAGAGCGATGGGCAGAACCTGTGCCGCTGCTCCTCGTTGCCAAAGGTGTCGATCATCCAAACACACATGCTGGGGTGGGAGAGAAGGAGCAGCATTCAGGATTGAACATAGGTTGTACAAGAACATCCCTGGCTGAACAGAGGAACGCACCACAAGCCCTGAGGCCTGAAAATGCTCTTGTTACACCTTCCATTCACCACACTCACTGCCCTGTGGAACAGCAGGTTCTGTTTAAGAGCCTCAGTCTCCTCTCCAGGCTCAGCCCTGCTTCCTCTCCAGGAAAGTGCACCTGAAGAAAGAGCAGCATCATTGCAGCTCTCTGTGCCAAGTGACCTGTCACTGGACATGTCTGTACAAGCAGGACAGCCCTGGGGTCAGGTGGTGCCTCTGGGCTCTGCCACAGCACAGCAAAGGCACAAAGGCTTTTTCCAGGCAGGTTACTATCTATAGACAGCTTAAGTGGCAGGGCAGAGAACAAAATCCAGAACTTAATCCCATCTTGCATGCCACAAAGCTAAAATTACTTCTTGGTGGCATCTCAGTCCTTGTGGCCTATTTGTTTACTGCCATCCAGGGATCCTCACAGGGATGTGTGTACTCGAGGTCAGCATTTAAATATATAAATAATGAGCAGCAGCCAGGGAGCTGCCTCCAGCTGGATTTAGAGCCCACAGAGCAGCCAGGCTGACACCACCCACCCCTGCACAGACACACTCACTTGTGGATGCTCATGTAAGCAGTGGTGCTGGTACATCCTGTTGACAGAGCTTCAAAGATTATGGAGGTGTCAAGTCGTGACAATCCAGAGCCACCAACATCTGGTTTCACATAGATCCCACCAAATCCCAGCTGGGCTGCTTTCCTCATGGTTTCCACAGGGAATATTTCCTATTGGGAAATAGGAAAGATACCCCAATGAATATTCAGGGTTAGTTCAGTCCCTTTAGGTAGCCCTGGGCTACCAATTTGAGTCCCACCATCCTGCAGAGTTTAGGTCAGCCGGGTGGGTCAAAAAAGAGGTGGTACCAGCACAGACAAATTCCATCTTCAGGAATCCAGAATCCTGAATCCAGGATCCAGGTGATTGAATAACCTGGCTAGGAAAGCTTCAAGGTATTTCTGATGATTTCCCTCCCCCAGCTACAGCAGCAGCTTCAATGACAACCTCCAGAGCTACTGCAGTGAGACCTATGGGTCACAACATCCTAAGGAAGGAAAAAAGGAGCAGTGCAACCCTTGTGAGAGTGTCCTACCTTCTCATCCCACTCGGCCATGTAAGGAGCCATCTCCTTGGCAGCAAAATCAAGGGCAACTTTCTGGAATTCCTTCTGATCCTCAGTGAGTCCAGTGGATGCTAGAAAAGCAGCAAGAGATGAGAACATGTGTCTGATGAGGGAAAGCAGCACAACCACCTTGTCTGTACCCCTTAACTCACACAAACAGTTCAGGGTCTCTGCTGCAGAGACCATTTCTCTGTTCCTCAGGAATACAATGAGCTGTGCTGAGAGCAGGGGGCTTTGGGAGGGGCTTTTTGGGACAAAACAAATCCAAGATCCCAGCTGGCTCTGCCTGCTCCAGGCTAACTACATCAGAAAGGCAGGACAGGGGAGCACAGTCACTCCATCTCGCTAAGTCTGTGCTAAAGAAATGTGAGGGAGCAGTGCTGGGACTTCAAAGAAAGGAGATGGGAAGCAAATAATACAGCAGCCCTTTGGAAACAGCATCTAAAGCTTTAGTCAGGTTCTGCATTTGAAATCTGCTTCACTGACACATAGATCCAACATTGTTTTGTTTGTTCCCCTCCTGAAATTCACAGCTATGCTGGTGCCTCAATTTTAAGTGTTGTTACATTTAGACATCGAAGCAATTCATCTGCAAAGTGTTCTGGAACCAGAATGGCTTGGATTGGAAGGGACCCTAAAGACCATCTTGTCCTTGTTCCAACCTCCTGACACCTTCTAAGAGACCAAGCCCTGTCCAACCTGGCCTTGAGCACAGGGATGGGGCATCCACAACTTCTGGGCAACCTGTGCCAGCTGGAATTCTGCCAGAGGAATTTCTTCCTAATATCTAACCTGAATCTCTCCTCTTTTAGTTTAAATCCATTCTCCCTTGCCCTATCAGTCTGCCCATATAAAAAATCACTTTCCTCCTTTTTTAAAAATCCCTCTTCTTTGAGAGATATTCTTTGATTCACTATCAAATCTGAAAATCCATGAAAACCTAGGTAAGGGAAGGACATGGAGATGTCACCATAGGATATGAAACAACATGAGCACACACACCACTGCTCTTAAGGTGAAAAAAAAGGGAGTTTATTTTCTGACTCCAACATTTATAGTTTTCTAAAAGAGACAATGGATTGGAGGGTGACAGTGCTACCTCTCCAATGACACTGGACAAACTAACAATTTATCAAATTTCTTCCATAAAAAGATGCAAAACAGTAAGTTATTTACAGAAAGTATGTGAAAAAGTTTACTACAAAAACGTAAACATTAAAAAGTTTTTAAAATCTTTAAAAAATCAGAGCAACATGGAGAGGGACGGACCTTCCTTGTGGGCGTTTTCCCACTATTGAGCACGGTCTAAAGAGGTAAAAGGAGGAATATGGAGAGGGATGGACCTTTCTTTCCTTCCAGGCTCTATCCCACTGCTGAGCACGGTCTAAAGAGGTACAAGGAGGGACAGGGAGAGGAAAAGACCTTTCCTTGTGGGCTCTGTCCCACTACCGAGCATGGTCTAAAGAATTAAAAGGAGGGGCAGGGACAGGGATGTACCCTTCCTTCCAGGCTCTGTCCCACTGCTGAGCACGGTCTAAAGAGGTAAAAGGAGGGACAGGGAGAGGGAAAGACCTTTCCTTACAGTCTCTGTTCCACTGCTGAGCAGCACGGTCTAACAAAACAGAAGGAGGGACATGGAGAGGGATGGACCTTCCTTGTGGGCTCTGTCCCACTGCTGAGCACTGGTCTAAAGAGGTAAAAGGAGGGACAGGGAGAGAGAAAGACCTTTCCTTGTGGGTTCTGTCCCACTGCTGAGCACGGTCTAACAAGGCAGGAGGAGGGACAGGGACAGGCATGGACCTTTCTCTGCCCTGTCCCACTGCCAGGCACCCGCTGCGCGTGTCCGCGCCCGCACGGCCCTGAGCGGGAGCAGGACACGGGGAGGAGGGACACGGGGAGCGGTGACACACGGGACAGTGACACCAACAGCTGGGAACATCCCTCCGGGCGGGGACACGACCCGGGGGCCACCGAGCCGCCGTCCGTCCATCATCTCCCCCAGCCCGCCTCCCCCGGGCCGCGGGGCCGGGCAGCTCCTTACGGTCGATGCAGGACGCGATCCCCCGGCGCCCCAGCAGCAGCCGCGCCGCCGCCCGCGGGGCCGCTCGCCACGCCATGGCCATGGCCGTGCGGGGCCGCTCCGCTTCCCGGCTGCTGCCGGTGGGGCAGGCTGGGAGCTGTAGTCCGGCCCCCGGCGCCGCCCGCCCGAGCGGGGAGGGAGCGAGGGGAGCCGGCCCTGCCCCGGCCTTTGCATAGCGGGCGCCGCTTCCGAGCGCGCTTCCTCCTCCTCCTCCTCCTCCCCGCCCGGCACCGCCAGCATCCTCATCGCCCCGAGCAGGAGCGGCGGCAGCGGCCCGGGCTGGTGAGAGGGAGCTCGGAGGACTGGCGAGGAGGGAGGGAGGAAGGGGAAAGCTTGGCATGGAAGGCGGAAAAGTTGATGCCGGCCGGCCTGGCAGGAGGCGGCGGGCTCGGAGCCGTGCGAATGCTGCTGGCAGAGGGGGCAGGGGATGGGCCGGCCGGAGCCCCGGGGTCCGCAGGGCTGGGAGGGACCTGGGAACCCCCAGGTCAGCGGTGAACCCCCCTGGCCGGGCACGGCCACCTCCGGCCACCTGCGGCCAGGTGCGTTTGGCGCTCTGCATTGAAGGAGCCGCTCCCGAGGGACGCGGAGTAGCCCGGCCAGCGGCAGAGCCTGGGCAGCGGCAGGGAGAGCCCTAGAAGGGGCAGGCAGAGCCCGGCAGAGGCAGGGGGAGGCAGGCATAGCCCGATAGCCAGAGGCAGAGCCCAGCAGAGGCACACAGAGCCCGGGCAGAGCCCAGACAAAGCCCGGCCAGGGGCAGACAGAGCCCAGGCAGAGCCCAGGAGCAGCAGGCAGAGCCCGAGCAGAGCCCAGCAGAGCCCAGACAGAGCTCAGATAGCGGCAGGCAGAGCCCAGGAGCAGCAGGCAGAGCCCAGGCAGAGCTCAGATAGCGGCAGGCAGAGCCCAGCAGAGCCCAGGCAGGGCCCAGGCAGCCGGGGCGAGGCTGGGCTGAGCCCTGGGGAGCAGCACGGCTCCTGTGCCAAAGGCAGAGAGCGGCCCCGCTCTGCCCACGCACCTTGGGGATTGCCCGGGCACAGCAGCGCTCCAGCCCTGCTGCTGGTGTCCGTCAGGGCTCCAGGGTGCGGTCCCCAAGCCCTGCCAGCATTCACACTGATAGAGGAAGTGGCTGAGCTCAAGGAAAGATTTATTTGCTCTCCACTCGCCCTGCAGCGCTCGCAGCTCTCTGCCTCAGCCGTCTGTACTTTTTTCAGCGGCCTGGAGCAGCGGTAATTCCTCCTCCTCCTCTCGTCCATCAGGTGCTTCTCAGCGAAGAGAAGATAATTCAGAGAGACAAGAGATGCCTTGGCCGAGCAGAAAGAGAGACAAAGGAGCGGTAGCAGGTCTGTGCTGACATCCTGACTGATTTAGCAGCTCTCATTTGAGGTTCCAGGCTATAGTGAAACTACAGGCAGCCGAATGAACCGTCTGTCTTGCAGACAGCATTTCCTGTGCCAAATGGGCTGAGCACCCAAGCGTGACTGAGACAAGCCTGCTAGGTGTGTGATGAGGACAGTGATGTATTATCAGCACAAGGGGCTTAGGAAATGGAATTCAGGCCCATTTTTGCACAGCAGAGTTGGTCAGTCAGAGTACACCCAGTGCATGCCAGGAAGCTGATGTAAAAACAAAACCAAAAAGCTGCAAAACAAAAAGCAAAAACATGGCACTGGAGGCATCATGATGTGGTGTTTAAAGTACAAGATGGAAAAACTGCACATCTGTGCCACTCATCTGCTTGATCCACTCCAGCAAATAACCACATTTTTACCTCTTAATCACTTCTTAATAACTGGGTTTTTTTGTCTGTGTCCTGAAGAAACAAAGGATCCCTTCTGAACAGGTAGTTCAGTGGAGGTTAAGCTAAGATTTCCAGCTCCTGCAGGAATTGAAATAGTTTGGTTTGCTTGGTGAATGTTCCTCTTACTCACCAGATTTACCTAAGTCTGCTTTGTTGCCTGGAGCTGATTTCTCAGCAATTAATTAAAAAAATTCAACTACACTTCATGTGGGCAAACATGGTCTATCCTGAGGTCTTTTTATTACTGACTGGGAGTATTAAACTACATTTTTGCAGACACAAAAACCTCCTTATTTCAGATGCAAATTAGAAATACTCAGAATCACTGGTGCATAATGCTGTTACCTTACCCTGAGCACCTGGGCTGCCCCAAACTCCTGCTGCAGTCAAATGTGTGAAACCAGCTTGGACAACTAAAAATATTTTTTGAAACAAAATGTGTTTTGTCTCAATGTCTTTTAAGATAAAAAAGAGCCTGATGCTAAAATTGCCAAAACTGAGAAGGAGACTTCGGATAAGGAGGAAGAAGAGAAGTCTGCAAAACCCCCAGCTGGGAGCTCCAAGTCAGGATGGAAGAACTGGAAGAAAAAAGAATCTGAGTCTGGTGGGGAGGAAAGCAAGATCACATATTGTCACTGGCTGCTGAAATCAGAACCTGAGAGCAGGCTGGAGAAGGGGGTGGATGTGAAGGTGAGCACTGACACCCCCTCACCCAGCAAAGGACAGCAGCAGGGCCACTCCTGCCCACCTTTAGTGCCCAGGTGCTGAGGGACAGCATCAGGCAATTCAGATTGATTTATCTTCTCAAAACCCATTTGTCCTCCTGGAAACAGAAAAACAAAAATGTTCTTGTCCAAGGTGACAACCTTGGGGTTTCATACATGTAATACAAGAGGAAATCAGCTCCTCAGGATGCTTGGCTGCTGGTCACAGGAGCAGCATCTATTTCAGACTCTGCCTTTATTCTGCTGCTTTGTAAAGGTTTGTCTGTAGGCCCTGTGGGAGCTGAAAATTGTGTCAGGTTTGTGCTATAATTGAAGGAGCTGCTAGCAGCAAATGCTCAGTGCAGACAATGACACTGTAAAGATCAGAAAGCTCCTGAATGAATGTTTATTTTCATTTCATTTGGCAGTTCAGTGTTGACGACTTGAAAGCTCAGCCTAATCAGACAACCTGCTGGGATGGAGTAAGGAACTACCAGGTAGGAAGCACATGGGGGCACTGAAATAGCACAAGAAGAAGGTGGCTCTGCCCACAGCCTGTTCCTGTGCCTCAAGCATTTCCTCTTGGGGCACTCTGCCTGTTCATGCAGGTGCATTTTGGCAGGGGCCTGAAGTCAGCTCCTGCTCAGTAGCCTCAAGGTCAGAGGTAGATTCAGGCTGGTGAATATTCTGTCAAGTCACCCAGTTTTTCTTTCACTTAGACCAACCTTTGATACCTCACAGCAAGTCTGTACTTACCCAGATGCTCTGTCAGTGCACAGCTTTCTGTTCCAAAGGAATTCCACGTGTGTTCCCCTGCTGTGTATGATCCCTGTGCTATATAGGATTCCCTGTTCCCCTGCACATGATCTGCTCTGAATTGTTTGCTGACAGCTCTCCTGGGCAAGGGTGGCTGAGCTGTTGAATTCCCACACACTTTGTGACCAACAGGAGCTTGCTCTTCAGCCTTGTTTTGACTTTATTTAATTCCAACACAAAACCATCTCTATGACAACTGTAGGAAACATTATCTGAGTAATTCTGAAGCACATCTACCTCTCCTCTTGTTGGTTCCTGCTCTTGGCTGCTTCTAATGAAGCCATGAGAGCTCGATGGGAAGAGCTGAAAGTCTATTGTTTACTCCTGACAGGCAAGGAATTTCCTGAGATCCATGAAACTTGGGCAGCAGGCCTTCTTCTACCACAGTAACTGCAAAGAGCCTGGCATTGTGGCCCTTGTCAAGGTGAGTGTTTTGGGGACAAGTGATAAGGAATGGGTTATCACACAGCTCACTGCTTGTGTCTCAGCACCAAAGAGTGCAGGGAATGAGCCCAGGACACCTCAGCTCAGCCCTACAGGGCTGACTCAGCCATGTGTCCCCAGAGGGATGGAACCACGCTGTGCTGTTTTCCTGCTGACATTTCGGGGCACTCCCAGCCAAGCCAAGTGCTCTGATTCCAGTCTGACTCACTACATTCTAGTCAGCAGGGCCCACAAGGCAGTAGAATAAAACCAGGGCACAGAACAGCTTTTTCTTTAAGAGCAGAACTCATCACAAAGATCATCAGCAGCAGCTACCCAGTTTTCCTGTGCTGCATTTCCTTCCCCACTGATCTCCAGCAGGTGATGCTGCACTCACTGTTCTGCACTCCTTCCACCCAAGAAATGTAAAGGAAACTGTTAGGATGGAGATCAGGGAAAGCAAGGCTGATTTTTCACCAGGATTACTCCTTGTCACATCTCATGCCCTTTGCTGACAGGTGTTTTGAACTGATGGAAACTTTCTTTTCCCCTTCTGCTTCAGATCGTGAAGGAGGCGTACCCTGATCACACACAGTTTGATCAGAAGGATCCTCACTATGACTCCACCAGCAGAAAAGAGAACCCCAAGTGGTCCATGGTAATGTATTCCATTAAATACAGCCCTGTGTGCAAGCCAAGAGAAGGGAGAAGGCTCTTTGCATCATAGTGAAAATCTTAAGCTTCTGTCCTGGCCTAGCTGCCTTTTTCTCTCTCAAGAGAAAATTCAATCCTCTTTTCTCTGCTTTTTCCCCAATCCCTTCCAGGAGGCTGCCAAAATATATCTCCCTAAATTTCCATATCTTGGCTGCAGAGCTGGCCTCTCTTAATTTTCAAATCTTGGCTGCAGAGTTGGCCTCCACACATGGCAGAACCCTGAGGTAGAAAAATGAGCTAAGAGCCACCGTCAGTGCACAGCAAACAGAGCTGGAGTTTTTAAGCACATTAGATTGTAGGGAAGGGAGTGTCACATCTGAATTTTGCACTGTCTGTGACATGAATGCACCTTGCTGCTGCACTGTGCCAACAAATCACCTGCCACAAATACTGGGAAGCTCTTCCAGCCTTCAGCAAGGCAAAGTTAATGCACATCAGTCACTTCTACAGCTCCAAATCTTTATCCCTCAAATATTTTATGGACTGTGGAGGCTGTGTGCCTGTCCAACCTGCTGTAGTTTTGAGGCACATTAGATTGTAGGGAAGGGAGTGTTCATGGGCTGCCTGCATCCCACATCTGAATTTTGCATTGTCTGTGACATGAATGCACCTTGCTGGTACACAGTGCCAACAAATCACCTGCAGAACCCTGAGGTAGAAAAATGAGCTAAGAGCCACTGTCAATGCACAGCAAACAGAGCTGGAGTTTTGAGGCAGATTAGATTGTAGGGAAGGGAGTGTCACATCTGAATTTTGCATTGTCTATGACATGAATGCACCTTGCTGCTGCACTGTGCCAACAAATCACCTGCCACAAATACTGGGAAGCTCTTCCAGCCTTCAGCAAGGCAAAGTTAATGCACATCAGCTTCAAATCCTTATCCCTCTAATATTCTATGGGAGGCTCTGTGCCTGTCCAACCTGCTGTACTTTTGAGGCACGTTAGATTGTAGGGAAGGGAGTGTTCATGGGCTGCCTGCATCCCACATCTGCATTTTGCACTGTCTGTGACTTGCTGCTGCACAGTGCCACAAACACTGGGAAGTTCTTTCAGCCTTCAGCAAGACAAACTTAGTGCACATCAGCCACTTCCAACAGCTCCAAATCCTTATCCCTCAAATATTCTATGGGCTGTGAGGCTGTGTGCCTGTCCAACGTGCTGCTGCCCTCCCTTGCAGGTGGATGTGCAGTTTGTGAGGATGACCAAGCGCTTCATCCCCCTGGCTGAGATCAAGGCTCACCACCTGGCACACAAAGCAGATGGGGGCCCCCTCAAGGACATGATGCTCTTCAGCAGGCAGCGTCTGTCCATCCAGCCCCTCACACAAGGTGAGAACCTCCCAGGACTCTTCATTCCCTCTGCCAGGCAAGCTGCAAGCTCCACTTATGGTTTTTCCTTCCTTACCACAGAGGAATTTGATTTTGTCTTGAGCCTGGAAGAGGAAAAGCCACATTAAAGCAGCACAGCTCCCACCCAGCCCGCTGATGCCTCCTCCTCCACCAGCACAAGTCTCAAGTTCACCTGCTCAAGCTCAGCACCACCAACATGCCACCACAAGACCTGCAGCCACTCATCCCTTCCCCTGACACAGTTATTTTTGCTTATTTTTTCAATAAATAAAGCCTTTTGGAATCAACTGCAGCTACTTGGGTTTTAAAAGTAGGAAAATCTGCAACTTATCTCTTGAGAAAGAAACAGATATATCTTTGTTTAGTTTGGGGTCTAGTGCAGCTCCATGTACTGCAGAGGGACATTTAGAAAATTAGAATCAGACAATTTAGAAAATTTAGAATCATTGAATGGCCTGGGTTGGAAGAGACCTTAAAATCATCTCATTCCACCCCCTGCCATGGGCAGGGACATTTTCCACTATCCAGGGTGCTCCAAGCTCTGTCCAGCCTGGCTTTGGACACTTCCAGGGATGTGGCAGCCACACCATCAGGAGGAATTTCTCCCCAGCATCCCATCTAAACTATTTTCTGTCAGTTTGAAGCCATTTCCCCTCCTCCTGTCAGTGCATGCTGTTGTAAACAGTCTCTCAGGAGATGGATACACAAAGCAGATCACAGTGAACTTCCTGCAGGTACAGAAGTTCCCATGATATTTTAGTTCTGACATCAGGGAAATGGAAGAAAATAAAGCCAGCCTGCTAATTTTTAAGCCACATGGGTCCTCCACCAGCACAGCTGCCAAGCAGTGACACAGCTTAAAGAAAGACCAAGGATTTATAAAGATAACAAAGGACAAACTCCTCCAGCATGTTTGAACTGCACACTGTGGCACTTTTAAAGAAAAATCTCTTCATACCACAGTAAAAACCCCAACCCAACCCAATACAAATCATCAGACAAACTCATGCACAGCATTTGACAGCCAGGGCTGGCTCTTTTTAATTGGAGAGACAAAAAAACCCACGTTTTAAAATACAGCCATTGAAAAGACGACGAATTAAGAAACATGTAAACACAGCAGAGGCTTAATTACAACTTGCACTGCTTGGTTTGGTACCTGCCCATTCCCCTGTGCCTGGGAGGGAGGGAATGAGCCAAGTACAGCACAGAACCACCAGCTCAGGGGGCAGGACTGCCCCTGGACATGCCAACACAACACTGCTCTGCAGTACCTTGTCCTGGAGTGAGCCCAGCTGCTCTCTAGGCATGCTCAGCACATCTGCTCCACCCCACGCAAACACAGGGCTAACAGGCTGAAAATGGTCCTTCAGATTCAGTAAAAATGGGGATCACTTCTGAATTCTGGTTCCACACACAGGGACATGGGGTAGGAAAAATCCCCCAAATCAATGTATAGGCTCAATCCATGTGTAGGCTCAATCAATGTATAGGCTCAATCAATGTATAGGTTCAATCAATGTATAGGCTCAATCCATGTTTAGGCTCAATCCATGTACAGGCTCATGCACCTTTTCCAAAGGAACCCTCCAGGAGTGATGAGCAGATGTTGAAGCCACCTCCTTCCAGCCCAGGCAATGATCTCACACCCAGCCAGGCAGGAAAAAACCACTCCTGGATTGCAGAGACATCTCCATCCAGGAGGTTTCTTTCCTTCCACATGGCCTACAATCCAGGGGAATAAAGGGAATAAAGGAATAAAGGAGTAAAGGGAATAAAGGAGTAAAGGAATAAAGGAATAAAGGCAAGGAGGGAGCTGAAGGAAAGCTCAAGAAGATTGTAAGGGCACTGCTGTGCTCAGTTCCCCTTAGAAGAACAGTTTGCTATCCCCAAGAGCTCCCCAAGGAGCCTCACTTGTCCCTATAGGATTGTGCCTGGCTGCAGCACAGCCATTTCCCCCAAAGGAAGGGAGGGAGGGGTGTCCCCAGTGACATCCAGGTCCCTGCCATGGCAGAGGTGCCCAGCCCTGCCCTGGCACAGCAGGGTGATTGTTGTTTGCAGGGATATTTTGCCTTGGGGAAGGCAGGGCCCAGCCCATGGCACAGACTCCCCATGGAGGGACAAGCAAGCCATGTCCTCAGTGGGGCACAGCAGAACCAGGGGGTGACAGGGGAGGGAGGGAGGAGTGTCCCCAGTGACATCCAGGTCCCCTGCCATGGAGGGACAAGCCAGCCAGGTCCTCAGGGGGGCACAGCAGAACCAGGGGTGACACAAGCACTGAGCAGAGATGAGCATTGGTGTCCTCTACAGAGCGAGACTGGCCAGCTCCACTACAAACCACAACCTTACACGTGGTGAGGAAAAGATAACTGACTTTGGCAAGCAGAAACACACATTTATCACTGAAATACAGTAGCTGTCATGACAGAAAAAGCTCCCCTTCCCACCCCAGCCCCACTCCCTCCACCAGCACCGTCCCACTGAGCACAGCAGACACTTCCATTGCCCAGACACCTGCTCCACACTCAGCTGCAGGACAGAGGAGCTTGATTCCAGAGCCAAAAGGAAGCTGGACAAACTAACAAGCCACAAAATCAGGGAAATCCACACAAATCCCACTTGACAGAGCTCATATCCCAGCCCTTGGTGCAGGCTGGTCTCTCCCTGGGGTAGGAGGTGTCACCACCTGCTTGAACAGGATGGACATCCTCCAAACTCAGGCAATCAAGTCTACAAAGCCACATCTGATTTTTAATGGAGAAGTGACTTCCTTCTGGGAATGTTCTCATGAGTCTACTTAGCTGAAGGCTAAAAGCAGCTTATTTAAAAAAAAAAAGAAAACCCACATTCAGGTTCTCAGCTCACTGCGCGCTCTCAGACCTCGCTGGTGACTTCAGCTCAGGCCTCAGGAATGTGTCTCTGGAATCAGAGCTCTGCCACCCTTCCAGGTGCTGCCTGGCTCCTTCCAGCAGCCCACACTGGCCTGTTTGAGCCTCCCACAACCACTGCATCCCCCTTCTGTCCCCACTAACCCTCATCCTGCAGGCAGCAAACCTCAGCAAACCAGACCACATGCACGTGTCCCCACCCTGCTGTCCATCCCCACACACAGCCTGCTCTGTCCCCAGGACACAGACACAGGCAGGGCAGCACAAACCCACCCCCAGGAGAGCCCCCACGAGCTCCAGAGCTGCTCTCCACACCTCCCTGCAGCAGCACCTGAGAGCAGCAGCCGAGTGTGGATCTCAGGACAAGATGAGGAAGGCACAGCTCGTGGCCAGGAGCCCTCCTGGCCCCACTTGTTGCCCACCCGTGAGCACTGGGACCGTCATTGCTCTGCACCTCCTCCTGCAGCCACAGCTCCTGGTGGGACACAGCTCCACGTGGCTGGGTGGCAGTGCCAGGGCTGAGCCTCCTCCAGCATCCAGCTGCTTGTGGCAAGGAATCCAACGCCAGCACGGAGAGGAAGAAGGGGAAGCAGCGAGGGGACGACACCACAAGGTTTCCAGCAGGCCACACCAGTCTCTGATCCCTCCTCCAGCTCCTTCTGCTAGGACCTCCATCCAGCTCATCACAGATTTCAGAAAGGCAAGGAGAACATCCATCCTGCACAGCCCCAAAGCACCCGGGGCCTTCCCCGCTCTCTCCTTCCCCACAGCTGTGGGAGCCCTCGGGGCACAGAGGAGCTCAGGAGGAGATCAGGAGCGCGGCCACGGCCTCCAAGCGGCCACGGCCTCCAAGGAATGGATGGACCGGGCAGTGCCAGGCACCTCCAGTGCAGCTGGCCGAGCCCTCCCGCCCCGTCCCACCCCGCCAGTCCTCCGAAGAAAGGAATGCAGTCAGATCCGGGTGTTTATTCAGGGAGGGCCCTGCGAGTCCCGCGCTGCTGGGGGGTCCCGGCGCCCCCCGGCCTCACTGGCGGCCGTTGTTGTCCGCGGGCTGCCCCGGAGCCTTGGGCTCACCGTGCGCCGAGCTGCCCTCGAAGCGCTGCGACGCGATGGCCGCCTGGTGGGACATGCTCTTCCTCACGATGTCCCCCTTCCTCCACAGCACCACCTCCTGCAGGGACACAGCAAGCGCTTGTCAGGGCTCCCGAGACCTTCTGCTGAGAGAGACCCTTCTACTGAGAGACCCTTCTGCTGAGAGAAACCCTCTGCTGAGAGAGACCCTTCTACTGAGAGAAACCCTTCTGCTGAGAGAGACCTTCTGCTGAGAGAGACCCTTCTGCTGAGAGAGACCTTCTGCTGAGAGAGACCCTTCTGCTGAGAGAGACCCTTCTGCTGAGAGAGACCCTTCTGCTGAGAGAGACCCTTCTGCTGAGAGAAACCCTTCTGCTGAGAGACCCTTCTACTGAGAGAGACCCTTCTGCTGAGAGAAACCCTCTGCTGAGAGAGACCCTTCTGCTGAGAGAGACCCTTCTGCTGAGAGAAACCCTTCTGCTGAGAGAGACCTTCTGCTGAGAGAGACCCTCTGCTGAGAGAGACCCTTCTACTGAGAGACCCTTCTGCTGAGAGACCCTTCTGCTGAGAGACCCTCTGCTGAGAGAGACCCTTCTGCTGAGAGAGACCTTCTGCTGAGAGACCCTTCTGCTGAGAGAGACCCTCTGCTGAGAGAGACCCTTCTGCTGAGAGAGACCTTCTACTGAGAGAGACCCTTCTACTGAGAGAGACCCTTCTGCTGAGAGAGACCCTTCTACTGAGAGACCCTTCTACTGAGAGAGACCCTTCTGCTGAGAGAGACCCTTCTGCTGAGAGAAACCCTCTGCTGAGAGACCCTTCTGCTGAGAGAGACCCTTCTGCTGAGAGAGACCCTTCTGCTGAGAGAGACCCTTCTGCTGAGAGAGACCCTCTGCTGAGAGAGACCCTCTGCTGAGAGAGACCTTCTGCTGAGAGAGACCCTCTGCTGAGAGACCCTTCTGCTGAGAGAGACCCTTCTGCTGAGAGAGACCCTTCTGCTGAGAGAGACCCTTCTGCTGAGAGAGACCCTTCTGCTGAGAGAGACCCTTCTGCTGAGAGAAACCCTCTGCTGAGAGACCCTTCTGCTGAGAGAGACCCTTCTGCTGAGAGAGACCCTTCTGCTGAGAGAGACCCTTCTGCTGAGAGAGACCCTCTGCTGAGAGAGACCCTCTGCTGAGAGAGACCTTCTGCTGAGAGAGACCCTCTGCTGAGAGACCCTTCTGCTGAGAGAGACCCTTCTGCTGAGAGAGACCCTTCTGCTGAGAGAGACCCTTCTGCTGAGAGAGACCCTTCTGCTGAGAGAGACCCTTCTGCTGAGAGAAACCCTCTGCTGAGAGACCCTTCTGCTGAGAGAGACCCTTCTGCTGAGAGAGACCCTTCTGCTGAGAGAGACCCTTCTACTGAGAGAGACCCTTCTGCTGAGAGAGACCCTCTGCTGAGAGAGACCCTTCTGCTGAGAGAGACCCTCTGCTGAGAGAGACCCTCCACTGAGACCCTCTGCTGAGAACAACCTTCTGCTGAGACCTGGTAGGACCTTCTGCTGAGACCTTCTGCTGAGAGAGACCTTCTGCTAGGACTTTCTGCTGAGACTTTCTAGGACCTTCTGCTGGGACCAGCTAAGACCCTCTGCTGAGACCTTCTGCTAGCACCTTCTGCTGAGGGCGCTAGCACCCTCTGCTGAGACCTGCTGGGACCTTCTGCTGTGACCCTCTGCTGGGACCTGCTGCTGCCCCACCCAGCCCCACAGGCTGAACCAGGCTCCATGTTCCACCCACAGCCAGGACACACCTGGCAGTGCCTAAGGTGAAGCACAGAAGCTCCACCACTGAGCAGAAAAGACATCCCAGGCAGGCACTTTGCAGATTCCTCCTCACCACCACCCACATCTGACCTGCATGGACATTCTTCTAGAAAATGTCTGCTGAGACCTCCTGCTGCCCCACCCAGCCCCACAGGCTGAACCAGGCTTGGTGTTCCACCCACAGCCAGGACACACCTGGCAGTGCAACCTGCCTGAAATTTGGGTAGAAAGCTCCTCCTTGGGGTCATAAAGGACATCCACAGCATCTGTGTCCTGGTGCCACTGGTAAGGTGAAGCACAGAAGCTCCACCACTGAGCAGAAAAGACATCCCAGGCAGGCCTCTCCTCACCACCACCCACATCTGACCTGCATGGACATTCTTCTAGATCATCCCTCCATGTGATGAATCCAAAAATGGACATTCTTCTAGACTATCTGTCCACTTGCTGAATCCCAGATTCCCAGCAGGTCCTTGTAAAAGCATCCCAAAGAACCATGCACGCGTCCAAGGAGAGCAGCAGCCCTGGTTCTCACCTGCTGTTTGAAGTAGCGCCGCTCCTCCTCATCAATCAGCACCAGGTTGAGGTAATAACGCACAGAGAACTTCTTGTTGATGTCCCTCATGGTTGGAGTCAGCTCATAGCCAGCCAGAAAGAGCCTGATGGGAATGGACTCCCCTGGGAAGGGCACAGAGCCGTCAGCACAGACAGGATGCAGAGAGAAACCAGCAAAACACAAACTCACACGGCCACAACCTTTGTCACCGTTTCCACAAGTGGACTAACATGAGCTAGAAGACCTCAACTCCCTCCAGAAACCAGCATGCATGGTGCTCAGCCACATCCTGCCCTTGCTGACAGCTATTCCAGCTCCACTCTAACAGCACGGGACTCTTTTGGGACCTGCAGCAACACAGCACTGCAGGAAAAAACCAGGAAGGTGACATTTTCTCTGCTGGGCAAAGAACAGTGGCACAGGAGATTGGCACAGAGCAAGAACACCACCTCTGCTCTG